TCGCAATTTCTGAACTAAGAACTACAGTTAAGTTTTTTTAATTGCTCAGATCCGCTCATACAAAATTGAACACCGTTTGTAAAGTAAGTTGGTTGTGTTGATGCAGTGATCTACTCCTTCATCTACCTGGGCACCAGCATTTTTGACACTTGTTTCAAATCAGAGCTCTTTTGATATCCGCATCTTTTTTTTATTTTTTATCATTCGCAATTTCTGAACTAATAACTACAGTTATGTTTTTTTAATTGCTCAGATCCGCTCATACAAAATTGAACACCGTTTGTAAAGTAAATTGGTTGTGTTGATGCAGTGATCTACTCCTTCATCTACCTGGGCACCAGCATTTTTGACACTTGTTTCAAATCAGAGCTCTTTTGATATCCGCATCTTTTTTTTATTTTTTATCATTCGCAATTTCTGAACTAAGAACTACAGTTATGTTTTTTTAATTGCTCAGATCCGCTCATACAAAATTGAACACCGTTTGTAAAGTAAGTTGGTTGTGTTGATGCAGTGATCTACTCCTTCATCTACCTGGGCACCAGCATTTTTGACACTTGTTTCAAATCAGAGCTCTTTTGATATCCGCATCTTTTTTTATTTTTTATCATTCGCAATTTCTGAACTAATAACTACAGTTATGTTTTTTTAATTGCTCAGATCCGCTCATACAAAATTGAACACCGTTTGTAAAGTAAGTTGGTTGTGTTGATGCAGTGATCTACTCCTTCATCTACCTGGGCACCAGCATTTTTGACACTTGTTTCAAATCAGAGCTCTTTTGATATCCGCATCTTTTTTTTATTTTTTATCATTCGCAATTTCTGAACTAAGAACTACAGTTATGTTTTTTTAATTGCTCAGATCCGCTCATACAAAATTGAACACCGTTTGTAAAGTAAGTTGGTTGTGTTGATGCAGTGATCTACTCCTTCATCTACCTGGGAACCAGCATTTTTGACACTTGTTTCAAATCAGAGCTCTTTTGATATCCGCATCTTTTTTTTATTTTTTATCATTCGCAATTTCTGAACTAATAACTACAGTTATGTTTTTTTAATTGCTCAGATCCGCTCATACAAAATTGAACACCGTTTGTAAAGTAAGTTGGTTGTGTTGATGCAGTGATCTACTCCTTCATCTACCTGAGCACCAGCATTTTTGACACTTGTTTCAAATCAGAGCTCTTTTGATATCCGCATCTTTTTTTTATTTTTTATCATTCGCAATTTCTGAACTAAGAACTACAGTTATGTTTTTTTAATTGCTCAGATCCGCTCATACAAAATTGAACACCGTTTGTAAAGTAAGTTGGTTGTGTTGATGCAGTGATCTATTCCTTCATCTACCTGGGCACCAGCATTTTTGACACTTGTTTCAAATCAGAGCTCTTTTGATATCCGCATCTTTTTTTTATTTTTTATCATTCGCAATTTCTGAACTAATAACTACAGTTATGTTTTTTTAATTGCTCAGATCCGCTCATACAAAATTGAACACCGTTTGTAAAGTAAGTTGGTTGTGTTGATGCAGTGATCTACTCCTTCATCTACCTGGGCACCAGCATTTTTGACACTTGTTTCAAATCAGAGCTCTTTTGATATCCGCATCTTTTTTTCATTTTTTATCATTCGCAATTTCTGAACTAAGAACTACAGTTATGTTTTTTTAATTGCTCAGATCCGCTCATACAAAATTGAACACCGTTTGTAAAGTAAGTTGGTTGTGTTGATGCAGTGATCTACTCCTTCATCTACCTGGGCACCAGCATTTTTGACACTTGTTTCAAATCAGAGCTCTTTTGATATCCGCATCTTTTTTTTATTTTTTATCATTCGCAATTTCTGAACTAATAACTACAGTTATGTTTTTTTAATTGCTCAGATCCGCTCATACAAAATTGAACACCGTTTGTAAAGTAAGTTGGTTGTGTTGATGCAGTGATCTACTCCTTCATCTACCTGGGCACCAGCATTTTTGACACTTGTTTCAAATCAGAGCTCTTTTGATATCCGCATCTTTTTTTTATTTTTTATCATTCGCAATTTCTGAACTAAGAACTACAGTTATGTTTTTTTAATTGCTCAGATCCGCTCATACAAAATTGAACACCGTTTGTAAAGTAAGTTGGTTGTGTTGATGCAGTGATCTACTCCTTCATCTACCTGGGCACCAGCATTTTTGACACTTGTTTCAAATCAGAGCTCTTTTGATATCCGCATCTTTTTTTTATTTTTTATCATTCGCAATTTCTGAACTAATAACTACAGTTATGTTTTTTTAATTGCTCAGATCCGCTCATACAAAATTGAACACCGTTTGTAAAGTAAGTTGGTTGTGTTGATGCAGTGATCTACTCCTTCATCTACCTGGGCACCAGCATTTTTGACACTTGTTTCAAATCAGAGCTCTTTTGATATCCGCATCTTTTTTTTATTTTTTATCATTCGCAATTTCTGAACTAAGAACTACAGTTATGTTTTTTTAATTGCTCAGATCCGCTCATACAAAATTGAACACCGTTTGTAAAGTAAGTTGGTTGTGTTGATGCAGTGATCTACTCCTTCATCTACCTGGGCACCAGCATTTTTGACACTTGTTTCAAATCAGAGCTCTTTTGATATCCGCATCTTTTTTTTATTTTTTATCATTCGCAATTTCTGAACTAATAACTACAGTTATGTTTTTTTAATTGCTCAGATCCGCTCATACAAAATTGAACACCGTTTGTAAAGTAAATTGGTTGTGTTGATGCAGTGATCTACTCCTTCATCTACCTGGGCACCAGCATTTTTGACACTTGTTTCAAATCAGAGCTCTTTTGATATCCGCATCTTTTTTTTATTTTTTATCATTCGCAATTTCTGAACTAAGAACTACAGTTATGTTTTTTTAATTGCTCAGATCCGCTCATACAAAATTGTACACCGTTTGTAAAGTAAGTTGGTTGTGTTGATGCAGTGATCTACTCCTTCATCTACCTGGGCACCAGCATTTTTGACACTTGTTTCAAATCAGAGCTCTTTTGATATCCGCATCTTTTTTTTATTTTTTATCATTCGCAATTTCTGAACTAATAACTACAGTTATGTTTTTTTAATTGCTCAGATCCGCTCATACAAAATTGAACACCGTTTGTAAAGTAAGTTGGTTGTGTTGATGCAGTGATCTACTCCTTCATCTACCTGGGCACCAGCATTTTTGACACTTGTTTCAAATCAGAGCTCTTTTGATATCCGCATCTTTTTTTTATTTTTTATCATTCGCAATTTCTGAACCAAGAACTACAGTTATGTTTTTTTAATTGCTCAGATCCGCTCATACAAAATTGAACACCGTTTGTAAAGTAAGTTGGTTGTGTTGATGCAGTGATCTACTCCTTCATCTACCTGGGCACCAGCATTTTTGACACTTGTTTCAAATCAGAGCTCTTTTGATATCCGCATCTTTTTTTTATTTTTTATCATTCGCAATTTCTGAACTAAGAACTACAGTTATGTTTTTTTAATTGCTCAGATCCGCTCATACAAAATTGAACACCGTTTGTAAAGTAAATTGGTTGTGTTGATGCAGTGATCTACTCCTTCATCTACCTGGGCAGCAGCATTATTGACACTTGTTTCAAATTAGAGCTCTTTTGATATCCGCATCTTTTTTTATTTTTTATCATTCGCAATTTCTGAACTAAGAACTACAGTTATGTTTTTTTAATTGCTCAGATCCGCTCATACAAAATTGAACACCGTTTGTAAAGTAAGTTGGTTGTGTTGATGCAGTGATCTACTCCTTCATCTACCTGGGCACCAGCATTTTTGACACTTGTTTCAAATCAGAGCTCTTTTGATATCCGCATCTTTTTTTCATTTTTTATCATTCGCAATTTCTGAACTAAGAACTACAGTTATGTTTTTTTAATTGCTCAGATCCGCTCATACAAAATTGAACACCGTTTGTAAAGTAAGTTGGTTGTGTTGATGCAGTGATCTACTCCTTCATCTACCTGGGCAGCAGCATTATTGACACTTGTTTCAAATTAGAGCTCTTTTGATATCCGCATCTTTTTTTATTTTTTATCATTCGCAATTTCTGAACTAAGAACTACAGTTATGTTTTTTTAATTGCTCAGATCCGCTCATACAAAATTGAACACCGTTTGTAAAGTAAGTTGGTTGTGTTGATGCAGTGATCTACTCCTTCATCTACCTGGGCACCAGCATTTTTGACACTTGTTTCAAATCAGAGCTCTTTTGATATCCGCATCTTTTTTTCATTTTTTATCATTCGCAATTTCTGAACTAAGAACTACAGTTATGTTTTTTTAATTGCTCAGATCCGCTCATACAAAATTGAACACCGTTTGTAAAGTAAGTTGGTTGTGTTGATGCAGTGATCTACTCCTTCATCTACCTGGGCACCAGCATTTTTGACACTTGTTTCAAATCAGAGCTCTTTTGATATCCGCATCTTTTTTTTTATTTTTTATCATTCGCAATTTCTGAACTAATAACTACAGTTATGTTTTTTTAATTGCTCAGATCCGCTCATACAAAATTGAACACCGTTTGTAAAGTAAGTTGGTTGTGTTGATGCAGTGATCTACTCCTTCATCTACCTGGGCACCAGCATTTTTGACACTTGTTTCAAATCAGAGCTCTTTTGATATCCGCATCTTTTTTTTATTTTTTATCATTCGCAATTTCTGAACTAAGAACTACAGTTATGTTTTTTTAATTGCTCAGATCCGCTCATACAAAATTGAACACCGTTTGTAAAGTAAGTTGGTTGTGTTGATGCAGTGATCTACTCCTTCATCTACCTGGGCACCAGCATTTTTGACACTTGTTTCAAATCAGAGCTCTTTTGATATCCGCATCTTTTTTTTATTTTTTATCATTCGCAATTTCTGAACTAAGAACTACAGTTATGTTTATTTAATTGCTCAGATCCGCTCATACAAAATTGAATACCGTTTGTAAAGTAAATTGGTTGTGTTGATGCAGTGATCTACTCCTTCATCTACCTGGGCACCAGTCTGCGAGAAGTCACTGACCTGTTCCCCCGCATCACCTGGTGCACAGTGCAGACCAGGGTGCTGGAGAAGGTGTTCGACTGGCAGATACACTGTGTACTCCCCATCAACCTATTCAACGAAATGGTAAGTGCCAATGCCATACCAACCAAACCGATGGTCAATCTCATATTACAAGTTACATGACGGAGCCAAAGTTTAGAACAGAATGTTTTTGAGGATATTCAGACCTCATATTTCTTAATAATTCAAACTAAATAGTTTCAGTAGCATATTTTATCGATCTATAATGAAGACTGCTCACGAAACTGTGAATCTATTTCTTCTACAATTCATAAATGTTGTAAGGATGTTGTTGACAACACTCCTTCCGTGCTTAATTGGTTGAGATAACAATGCAGTGCTGTTTGGTCAGGTCTACCTGCTGGTATGGTTCTGGCTCCTGTTCATCCTGATTCTGACTTCCCTCAATCTGGTCTCGTGGCTGTTCCGCATGCTCAACTGCTGTGGCCTGTGTGGGGAGTCTGTATTCCATTATCTAGAACTGGCTGGCAAAACTGAAACAAAGGTTTGCGGCAATCATCGCAAATAAGCGTTTTCATTTCATACCATGATTAACATTCCATTATGTTATATTCTTAAATGGTGACTGAATCTGTGGAACTTTTTTGAAACGCCGGATGATTTAAATCACAAAATTCTACCTTGAACAAATCTGAATCGAATAAAAGCACAAAAATGTTCAGAAAAACCCGGAAAAATTTAGACTTTTTGCGTTCGGAGTCTGCAATGAAAAAGAATTTTAAAAATCATTTTCTCAACTCTGAGTTCTTATCTAGCGAGTGAGCAATGTAAGGACTAATTGCTATAAGAACATGTCTTAAAAGAACTCACCACGAATTTCACTTTTTTGCACAATGTAGGAGCAGCGAATCTGTAGTCAGAACTTTGTTCGGTACTACCTCAAAGCAGACGGACTGTTCATAATGCATATGTTCGCTAAAAACAGCACCAAAGTGTTCATGGTCGACTTCATCGAGGCTCTGTTCGACATCTACATGGCCAGGGTGAACAAGGAGGCAGAACCCATCAAGGACACTTCATGTTCACTACACAACAACAACAAATCACCCTCCAAGAAGAGGTCCCGAAATTACACCAACACCATGGGAAAAGAGAATAAAGATCGAAACAAAGGACACACTGGGATAAAGATGTACCCCACGCTTGACAATTTTGATGTAAGTTCTAACGCGATGCTTTTTCATAGAAAAATTTGAAGACTCATTTACTAAAATACATGCTGATCTTATTAGCTTTAATTTTGTCCTTAAGTAAGTTTATTTAGCGCTTTTCCTCTAGTTAAATTATCAAATAGATCTCATAGATCTGCCATATATTTAAAAGGTGATTCTAAAAGCACGTGAATTAAGTTAGATAGATATATTGAAACAAAAGAGTTAACTAAGTAGGCTCTTTTCCAGTTTCCCCTCCCCTTCGTAAAATTACAATCGAATGCTGTTCAAAAATTGTTCACATGGCATTTTGCATGCAAGGAATAATGTATAAATTTGTTCATCTGCTCACGCTAAAACTTTTGGATTCAGTTCATGACAAGAAAAGTGATTTTGAATGGACTTTCAGATATTGGATTTCAAAAAAAAGGGGGGGGACTGGAAAAGAGCGATTGAATAATGAACAGCAATTTTTAAAAACATCTAATGGATAGGGGTGTACACTTATTTTTTTACCATGTTTTCACTGATTATCTATCTAACTACTTTGTGCGTCTAGGATGAAGGTTGATCCTGATCCACTAATTGATTTCTCCGCCTACTCGCCTTTTGGTGTCTTGGGTTGTCAAAACTTGTAGCGCTTTTGGGCATCCTTTTTGATCGGGATTGGAAAGCCCACTTTGGTTTCATCATTTTGTTAAACCAAAAAAAAACGTTAAAAAGCAAAAAATTTTCAATACAATGTTAAGTCGGAACTTGGCTCATTACACATTTAAAACATTCGGGGATTTGGCAATTAATTAACAAAAACTGGATAAGCGAGCATGGTAGAGGTGTAGTTTGCTTTGTGTAGTCTGCAAAAATAGGTTGGAAGAGTTAGTCATTACTCTTGTTAAGGAAAAATCGATTTTGAATGTTTGCGTTGTATGAAATCCTCCAAAGAGCATATTTCCACAATTTTTGTGCAATTCCGACGTTTTTATATGAGGGAAAACTTAAAATTAAAACGGTTATTTGAGATGGCTTCAATGTTGACAGATTAACTGAAGCAAATAGATCCCTTGACCAAGTCTTTCATTGTCATACCTTTTTGAAATGCTATGATTTTGACATAATGCATTTGGAGTCTGCTCACGAAAGGGCGTGTTCTTCTTCATGCATTGATCATGTCATTGAGAGGTCCTATGCTAATATGTACCGAATTAAAAACTGTATTAGTTATGATGATTCATTTTTAGCGGAGGTTTAATCCGAAACAACAAATTTGATACGAAATGCGAAAAAATTTATACGCAACATGAAAACACTAGCAAACTATCAAATCGTTTTCAGTTTTTTATATCCTATTTATCGAAAAAAAAACTATTGATCTGTTTGTAATAGAAACACAATTGAAAAACTATCAAATTCTATTTTGAGTTCTGTTGTTTCATTGACTCCTAAAATTAACCTCTCTTATCAAATTGAAAGACTAAAAAACTACCTTACATTTTAAAAATATCGAGCGACCAAAAAACATCTGAAATCAAAAGTTTTTGAAAAAAAAAACCAACGCGATATAAAAACACTTGAAATTGGTAAAATTCGGAAACCGCTGACATCGAAGATTAGAAATTCAATTAGATAAAGAATTGATCGCAAAAGTCAGGGCCAAAAAGCGCTAAAATGATTTTTCAGTGCTTCAATGAAGTGTGGGTAAAGGTTTTTGGTATAACATTGGAATTCTCAAATCAGGAAGTTTCTGTTTTCATAAAAGTTTTTGCTTGCTCTGAGAGTATTTAATTTTTGCATCAATTGTCAAGTGGGAGGTTAATAGGTCAAAAGATAATTATTTGAGGTGCAAAAGTTCTCTCGGTCAGGATGGATTAAAAGGTTATATGATAAAATTTACCGCTAGACTCATCCGACAACCCTCATCGCGCATTTTAAGATTTGAATATGTATATATACTTTTCTCAATCAGCTAAGAATTGCTAACCTAATTGCTTTGGGAGAAATCAGGCTTTAAAATTGATCCGGTGAACTATAGACCGATCAGTCCATTGCTTACATTCAGCAAAGTTTCGAAAAAAAAATATTTGTAATGATGATCAAAGTCATCGAAAAAGGTAGTCATTTGTCAACGTAAAATTTTTTGGATTTAGAAAAACTACTTTAGTATTATGCAGTTTCGATTATAATTGACCAAATGAGCGAACTAATTGGCCAAACAAAAAGGTTCTGGTAGTTTTTTGGTTTTCAAAAGAGCCTTTATTAACGATCCGGTTTTTGCGGTATTTTTATTTAAAATTTCTGAAGTCCTAGTTAGAAGATCGAACATCTACTAATATCAGGTAACCGTGTGTCATCTACGAAAACTGTCAACCGCTCAGTTTTGCAAGGCTCAATTTTGGGCCCGTTGCTTTTTTGTTAAATATAAACAGTTTTCGGATCAATTGGCGCGTTCGCAAGTTACTATCTCTGTTGGCGATACAATGACGAAGTTTACATTCAAACTTCCAAATGCCTATTTTTGTCTTTGGCAGTCGGGTTTGCTAGAAGAGCTAGATATTCCATCAAAAATTTGCTAGAAATCCAGTTTTTCTTAACATCTCGGAGTTTTTCTTGATAAAAAATTGACTTTTGTGAATCATACTGATCATGTAATCAAAAAATTGGCGAAGCTCAACGGTGTTGTCTATCAGACGTTTGTTTTCAAATACATTTCCCATTTCTTCTTATAAGGCTTACGCTAATTCTGCTATGATTTATTGCCTTCTGATTGATGGATTTTATTCTAAGACCTCTCATAGCAGAATTCACTTTAAAAAAACCTGTTTTATGGGCCTACAAAATAATTAGTTTTTCCCGATTTCAAAGGTAAACTAGCTTATTTTTTCTTTGGCCTCGTTTTCGTTTTTTTACTCAAACAATAAAAAATAATTGCCGTAGATCAGGGAGTTTGATCATGAAATTACTTTTCAAGTTCAATACTTTTAAGTTTGTGAAAAAAAACTGAAAAAGAACCAGAGTAGTTTGCATTGGTTTTTAGAACAGTTTCTGTTTAAAGCCCAAACCTGTTTTAAAAAATGAAAAAACTGAAAAGTAAAAAATTTTTATTCTACACTTATCAATTGTTTTGAACATCCATAACCCTAATAAACGAATTAATTTGGTGCATTTCATCATTTTTGAAAAGAACATTATAAAAAATTTGAAAATGGTTTTTAGTAATGAAACAGAGACACAAACTCACCAATTTGGATAAATGATTTAAGAAAAATTTCAACATGAACCTTTATATGATCCAAAAGGAGCAAACTGATGGTCTGGCGGCTGCTGATAAACATATTGGTTTGTGGTTTGTGCTTCAAAACTTTTCAAAAATTTTTTAATTTTGTCATTCGATGACATCAAGAAATAGAAAAAAATACAATCTCTTGATTTTTTAAGAGCTATACACTTATATTAAGTACGGTAGTTGATTGCGGATGGCTTTACCGATTCGTCAAAATTCTGATACTTAACAGATAAAAAGATTTCATTTGAGCCGTCTGAGTTTCAACCCGCAAGATCTGAACAAAATGTTTCATTAGTTTCAAATTCAGACTGCAATTGCAAATTTATTACGAAAAATTCTAGTTTTGCGGTAAGCTGTAATTTATCTGGAACAACAATCAGTGGTGACTGAAAAAAATAAGAAGCAGACTGAAGTAGGTTTAAACTAGAGAATTGATTTTTTAAATGCTGAATTCTTAAGTTACGCAGTCTAACATCAGACGAGCCACAAAAAAGCAAAATTTGACAAAATTTTTAAATAGTGCTAAAGGTCACCTCAAATCTTAAATGATCCGCGAAAAGGATGGTTTTGATTGGGAAAAAGAAGCAGAAGTACATGAGTATAGAGAATCGTTTTCCAATAAAACACAATATCTAGACCATGGGAACATAACAGTAATGTACAGGAGAAGAAAATTTAATTTTTATATGATTTTTCAACCTTAAGAAAGCAAACCATACCGCAGTTTGTTTTTGTATATTTATAAATATATATTTTTAATTATATATATACATTTATGTATTTATTTATACAGTTTTTATTCCTATATCTAATAATGCGGTATGATTTGCTTCTTCAGTTTGAAAATTCTTATATACATTGAAGTTTTTTCACCTGTATAAACCTTGATTTAAACTCTTGGCGGCTCAATTAAAAACATTTTATCTGTTTATTATCTGAGATTTGGCGAACAGGTTAAGCCATTCGCGATCAATTGCTGTACTTAATCTAAGTGCTTAATTTTTTAAAAGTCCGTGAGGTTGTTTTTTTTTTCTTTTTCCACATCTTGAAAGATAAATATCACCGAAAGATAACATCAAAAAATAGTTGGAAGATTATTAGGCAAAAACCGATCAGGGGATCAACAACCGCCAGTTGAATCTGTTTGAAATAGTTACGTCGTTTTGTATTTCCATTGACGCAGAACCCATCAAGGCCACTTCATGCTCACTACAGAACAACAACAAATCTCCTCCAAGAAGAGAAGGTCCCGAAACCACACTAACACCATGGGAAAAGAGAATAAAGATCGAAAAAAAGGACACAATGGGATAAAGATGAACCCCACGCTAACGCGATGCTTTTTCATAGAAAAATTTGAAGGTTCATTTACTAAAATACTTGCTGATCTTATAAGCTTTAGTTTTGACTTAAATAAGTTTATTTAGCGCTTCCCTAGTTGATACTTATTTAGCGCTTCCCTGGCAAGAAGACAACCTCCTTTAAAAAGAATCGTTATTCTATCAAAATATGATCTTTTTGCGAAAAAAAAACTTTACACGAGTCAAGTAATTTTTTTTACCAGTAGACACTTTACCACTACCAATTAGTTTTTTTTGGCGCTCAGAATAAGGTTTTGTGAAAATTTCTTAGTTGGTTATCTTGCAAGATCTTGCAAGATAACCCTCATTTGCAAGAATCTTGCAAGATCTTGCAAGATAATCCTCCTTGATCGACTAGGGTTTCCTCTAGTTAAATTATCAAATAGATCTCATAGATATGCCTTATATTTAAAAGTTGATTCTAAAAGCATGTGAATTAAGTTGGATAGATATATAAAATCAAACGAGTTAACTAAGTAGGCCCTTTTCCAGTTTCCCTCATCTTCGTAAGATTACAAACGAATGCCGTTCAAAAATTGTTCTCATGGCATTTTGCATGCAAGGAATAATGTTTAAATTTGTTCATCTGCTCACGCTAAAACGTTTGGGTTCAGTTCATGACAAAAAAAGTGATTTTGAATGGACTTTCAGATATTGGATTTCAAAAAAAGGGGGGACTGGAAAAGAGCGATTGAATAATGAACAGCAATTTTTAAAAACATCTAATGGTTAGTGGTCTACACATTTTTTTACCATGTTCTCACTGATTATCTATCTAACTATTTTGTGCGTCTAGGATGAAGGTTGATCCTGATCCACTAATTGATTTCTCCGCCTACTCGTCTTTTGGTGTCTTGGGTTGTCAAAACTTGTAGCGCTCTGGGGCATCCTCTTTGATCGGGATTGGAAAGCCCATTTTGGTTTCACCATTTTGTTAAACCAAAAAAAACGTTAAAAAGCAAAAAAAATTTCAACACAAATTTAAGTTGGAACTTGGCTCAGGGAAAACGATTCATTACACATTTATAACATTCGGGGATTTGGCAATTAATTAACAAAAACCAGATAAACGAGCATATTAGAGGTGTAGCTTGCTTTGTGTAGTCTATAAAAAAAGTTGGAAGAGTTAGCCATCACTTTTTTTAAGGAAAAATTGATTTTGAATGATTGCGTTGTATGAAATCCTCCAAAGAGCATATTTCCACGATTTTTGTGCAATTCTGACGTTTTTCTATGAGACGTCAAATGGAAGGTTAATAGGTCAAAAGATAATATGAAGTGCAAAAGTTCTGTCGGTCAAGATGGATTAAAAAGTAATATGATAAAAATTACCGCACCAGCCATCTGACAACACTCATCGCGCATTTTAAGATTTTTTTATGTTTACATACTTTTCCCAATCAGCTAAGAGTTGCCAACATGAATGTTTTGGGGAAATCAAGCGATAAATTTGATCCTACAAACTATAGACCGATCAGTCCATTGCTTACATTCAGCAAAGTTTCGAAAAAAAAGTGTTTGTAAGGATGATCAAGGTCATCGAAAAAAATAGTCATTTGTCAACGTAAAATTTTGGTTTTAGAAAAACTACTTTTTACTACGCAGTTTTGATAACAATTGACCAAATGAGTGAATTAATCGGCCAAACACAAAAATTAGTTATTTTTGGGTTTTCAAAAGAGCCTTTTTTATTGTTGATATTAAAATTTTATCAACAAAATTGGAACGATCCGGTGTTTGCGGTATATATTTTTGGAAATTTCTGAAATCTTATTCAGAAGAACGAACATCTACTAATATCAGGTAACCGTGTGTCATCTACGAAAACTGTCAACCGCTGAGTTTTGCAAGGCTCAATTTTGGACCCGTTGCTTTTTTGTTAAATAAAAACAGTTTTCGGATCAATTGGCGCGTTCGCAAGTTACTATCTCTATTGGCGATACAATGACGAAGTTTACATTCAAACTTCTAAATGCCTATTTTTGTCTTTGGCAGTCGGGTTTGCTAGAAGAGCTAGATATTCCATCAAAATTTTGCTAGAAAACCAGTTTTTCTTAACATCTCGGAGTTTTTCTTGATAAAAAATTGACTTTTGTGAATCATACTGATCATATATTCAAAAAATTGGCGAAGTTCAACGGTGTTGTCTATCAAACGAGACGTTGTTTTCAAATACATCTCTCATTTCTTCTTATAAGGCTTACGCTAATTCTGCTATGAGTTTTTGCATGCTGATTGATGGATTTTCGTCTAAGACCTCTCATAGCAGAATTCACTTCAAAAAACCTGATTTATGGGCTTACAAAATAATTAGTGTTTCCCGATACTTTATTCCATTCAAAGTTAAACTAGCTTATTTTTTCTTTGGCCTCGTTTTCGTTTTTTTACTCAAACAATAAAAACACTTGCCGTAGATCAGGGAATTTGATCATAAAATTACTTTTCAAGTTCAATAGTTTTAAGATTGTGAAAAAAAATTGAAAACGAACCAGATTAGTTTGCATTAGTGTTTAGAACAGTTTCTGTTTAAAGCCCAAACTTGTTTTAAAAAATGAAAAAACTGAAAAGGAAAAAATTTTTAATCTAAAGTTATCAATTGTTTTGAACAACCATAACCCTAATAAACAAATTAATTTGGTGCAATTCATCTTTTTTGAATAGAACATTATAAAAAATTTGAAAATGGTTTTTTGTGATGAAACAGAGACACAAACTCACCATTTTGGATGAATGATTTAAGGAAAATTTCAACATGAACCTGTATATAATCCAACCGGAACAAACTGGCGGTCTGGCGGTTGATGATAAATTTATTGGTTTGTGCTTCAAAAATTTTCAATAATTTTTTAATTTTGTCCTTCGATTACATCAAGAAATAGAAAAAAAAAATTACAACCTCTTGAATTTTAAGATCTATACACTTACATTAAGTACGGTAGTTGATTGCGGATGGCTTTACCCATTCGTCAAAATTCTGATATTTAACAGATAAAAAGATTTCAATTGAGCCGCCTGAGTTTCAAACGCAAGATCTGAACAAAACGATTCATTAGTTTCAAATTCAGACTGCAATTGCAAATTTATTACGAAAAATGCTATTTTTGCGGTAAGCTGTAAATTCTCTGGAACAACAATCAGTGGTGATTGAAAAAAATTAGATGCAGACTGAAGTAGGTTTAATCTAGAGAATTGATTTTTTAAATGCTGAAGTCTCAAGTTACGAAGTCTAACATCGGACGAGCCGCAAAAAAGGCAAAATTCGACAAAATTTTTTAATAGAGCTAAAGGTCACGTCAGTTCTTAAATGATTCGAGAAAGGGAATGTTTTTATTGGGAAAAAGAAGCAAAAGTAGATCAATCCAATAAAACACAACATCTAGATCATGGGAACATAACAGTAATGTACAGGAGAAAAAAATTCAATTTTTCAACCTTAAGAAGCGAACCACACTGCAGTTTTTTGTTTGTATATATAGGAAGCTTTTGTTTGCACAGGAAGCTTTTGTTTCGTGGTAAAACTTTATGAGCCAAAATATGACAAGAAGTCTTGGCTTTAGAGATTTATTTTTGACAAAAAAATCAGAACCATGGGATATAAATAAACCAAGCTTTTGGTGTGACAAAATTTCGACAAAAGAAGAGATCATAGTCAATCATAATCGATTATAATTGATTGAATGAGTTTTTTTGCATGAATTGTAATCAATTATAACAGAATTATAATAGAAAAATATCACGAATTTAATCGATTGAAAATCCTCTAAACACCTAACTTTGGTAATTACATTCAATTATAATGGTCAAAAAATAAAACATAATAATTCTTTATACTGCGGAGATGTTTAATTACCCGTTAAGCTTGGATGCGGGGACGTTTTCATATGGAAGCCTGCTTGTTGTTTTTTTTCCGAGTACATATTCGATTTGACTCATTGACCACGGAATTAAGTTTTTGGTTCCTCCTGATTTCTTTCTCTTAATCCTAAATATATTTATGAATTCTGAGATAATTAGTCTTTCTATTAATACTTCGTGATTTTTTTTATTAATGACTATCCTCGCACCATAAATGAGAAAAAACATAAAAACAACACTTTCCATCTGTTAAGTACGCTTCGTTCACGAACAGAGAATAAATTTATCTCTTAACAGTTTCGAAAAACAGCCCGAGTTGATTCGGAAAAGATAGTTAAAAACTTTTTTTTTGCATCTTTGTGACAAAAAAACAGATTTCAAGCTACAATCACGGTGCACGAAAGTAAATACGTTGTAAATTCTGTATTTCAGATGCCAAAATTAACGATATTTTCATAACCTTAGTGTCCTTTTTTAATTTAAAGAAAAGTTCATCATCTGATCAAAAATGCTGGTCCGAAATACCCTGTTATTAAAAGATCGAGCTGGATAAAAAACTTAATTATAAAGAATTAGTTTGGTTATCTGATCTATGTCCATAAAATACGTGTTCACGGCGTTGAAAGATTGCTGTGAACAGAAGAATGTCCTTTTCCCCCAAAGCTATTTGCCAAACATTTTAGGCCTAAATGTTTCAATTTTAATTGAATACAGGTTTTCCCAAATTATTCAAAAGAGTTCTATTGGTATGTGATGAGATTATATGGTTTCAGCAAATCAAAAAGTGAATGACCAGTTGTAAAAAAAAGCTCAAAAATTCTTTCAGCAATTCAACAGAAGCAATAGCCCTTCTAAAGTTGCATTCGATGGCTTCCAACGAAATCATGGAGACAACTCGGATGATGACTTGTGCTCTTTGCCCTCCTACAACTCACATGCACCAGTTAATGGCAGGAACGCTGTTACTCAGAGAACAAGGGATGAGCAAAGTACTCTTGGAAACCGGCACAAGTTGCCACAACGCATGCTCGTCGGATTCGACTGGGACCCACTTGATAGATCCGAGCTATGAGAAGAAAAAGATACCGAAGAACTCAAAAGAACCGAGTCTTTTCTGAATATAAAAGAACTTGAAAGCGAAAATCAATCTGATAAAAACATTATTCAATTTCAAATTGAAGTGATAGAAATAATAGTGATTCTGATAGTGATCGCTAAGCTACAATATTCGAAATAAAAACCTATTATCAAATGGCTGCTGTTTGAAATCAGTTGATAGATAAACACAAAATATCCTTCACTTACAAATAAACTCCTAGCTTCAGTAGCAAGTGAACCCACAACAGATTATTGTAAAAGTTTTTAAATCTAGATTGAGTTGTCCATTTCTACAAATCCAGGCTGGTACTTGTAGTCGTCATTTGTGGATACTTTTGTGAAGAGATAGGCCCAATAGCCCAAGTTGAAGATGAAGAAGCTCAGAGGAAAGAGAACCCTGGCTACATTATTCACCATATGTAGCGACTTAATCCGCAGACGCTCTTTTTCAGCGGCTGCTTTTGCAATTGACTTGGAGACGTTTTTGATCTTTCTCTCAGCTGATACTCGTTTTTTCTCTGCACACGGTTTGGAAGAGCACTTTTGCATTGGAGTGAAGTTGGCTGCTTTGTTGTCGGCACTCTTCTGGTTGGACTGTTTTGTCTGGAGATATTTGTTAGCAATGATGTCTGCCTTGAGGTCATCTTTCAACACAGAGTCTGTCACATACACTCTCGTTTGCATGTGTTTACTTCGGCTGCTTGTGATGCTGTTATTGCTATTACTGCTGATGATATTGCTTTGGGTCTGCTCTGCTCTGTCAAAGACCGGTGAACACATGTTTTGAGTTTCACTGTCGTGATGAGGGTGGATTTGACTGAATCTTCCAGCATTTTTTTCTAAGTTGTTCGGGTGAAGTTGCTTCACTCTGTCTCTGCGACGGAAGGGCTTCCCGTTTTGCTCTTCAGAAGGATTCAGGCTGAAATAAATAAAAAGTATTTACTAACGTCAATATAGTTGATTGGTTGAGTGCCTTTTTTTACCAGCTCTCGAAAATTCCTGCGGCCACCTTTAAAATTTGGCCGCCGTTTCTACCAGCAAAAAGAGGGTCAAATTAATTTTGTTTCAGCCGTAAAACTTACTTGATAACACATGACTGTGTTGTTGTCTGGTCATTTTCTTGTGCTTCACAGTCTGAATTGGCCACAAACTCACATCTTTTTGTGTCCCTCAACGGATCTTTTTCCTTGTCCACTTGGTCCAGCCCCGAGTGGTTCTTCTTCTCAGCTCCTCCCCTCCCGTCTGCCTCGGACATCTTCCGCTTCTTGTCGTCGGGTGTGGCTGCGATGGCACTGTGAGTGGTGAAGTCTGAGAGTGCGAACTCGATCATGGCGAATATGACGAACACGAAGCAGGCCCACAGGTAAATGTCGATGGCTGTCACCTTGTTGTTCACATGTTTCGCATTCTGAGAAGTGCTCTGCGTGGCTAGAGTCAGCATCGTCAGCACTGTGGTCACCCCTGAAATTAATTGCAAGCTTGAACTCACAAACAACTATTGTAATTTTAACTTACTTAGAAAAGCTAGCTAAGTCCACGCAACCTTCCAATTGAAGACGGGAACGTTCGTTGTAAACTACTTTGGCATTTTGAGGTGAAACCAATTTTGGTAGCTTAGAAAGAAATTATCTCCCTTTCTCTTAATCTGGACTGAGTTAACCGGAGAAGGGGGATGGCAATTATGACAAGGTTAAACTATGTGAGCGTAAGCGCGTTAGCTCTTCCATAGGTTAATTGTGCGTTAGAAGGTGCAATGAAATCTAACCGGCGCTGCTTGTGGCTACATTCTTTGATAACCACTTTTTTGGACGAGCTGCAATTAGAAGTACCAAATCGACATCCTGTACAAAATATTTTCCAAAATGCGATTATGCTTTCAAATTTTATCAACAACCTATTTATTTCTGCGCCGAACACAAAAAATGTTATTTGTCCCAAATTTGCCAAATTGGTCATCTCTAAACCCCTATAGCTTCACAAAGTATGATCACAAGTGAAATAACTTTTTAAAATTGAGCTTAAAAACACAGTCAAAAGTGGCTAGTTAAAAAGGTGAAATTTGTCTGGAGAAAACAAAATCACCACGAGCAAAAATATTCCGTCATTATCTCGGAAAGTCGAAACAAAAATTGAGGTTTCTGCGTGTTGCAAAGGATCTATGAAACGCTTACAGTCATAGTCCGTTTCTGTTGAATAGATCAATAGATCAACTGCTTTTCCAGAATACTCCAAACAGCGGTGGTTCGGTGTTTTTGGAAATATATTTTTTCACCCTCATTCAGATGAGCTCAGCTTTTTCGAGCTCTGCCAAAAACCCTAAGTTAGCTTTATTTATCAAAGAGCAGTTCTGCAGTGCAGTATATTTCTGGACAAAAAGCCTTTCTCAGCACTTTTGCGAATGTTTACACTAAAAGTTAAGCGTATCTTGGAGCATGCTGACCTTCTTAAAATAAATGAATAACAGCGCCAATGCGCCAATGCGCCTTGCGATAAACTTCATGGTTAATCATCAAAAATTGATGTCGAAAAGTAGACAGAGATGAATAAAATTTTTATTCAAGAAAAAAAATACTTTCTCAGCATACGTCTGTTGCATCTGCTCCCATAAAGTTCAAAATAAAACAAAGAAAAACGCATAATTTTTCCAAAGGGCGGATTTAGGGGGGGGAGGGGGGGGCAGACGCCCCTGGGAACAACCGTGAAGGATTTGACCCCTTACCGACCCAAATGGTCCCCCTTTGAACTATTTTGAGATATCCATATTTGGTGACGGACCCTAAAATTTTTCTAAAGGCGCCTTGGGCGCCAATATACACTAACTTTGAGAGGGGAGCGCGCGCCAAAAGAAAATCGTACAAAAAGTGCCTAGAAAGTGCCTAAAAACGCTTTTTTTTTGGCCTGTTTTGGTAAAATTTTCTGCGCCGATTTAAAAAAAATTAAAAAACAGGCCAAAAAAGCGTTTTTAGGCACTTTTTAAGCAATTTTTGGGAATTTTTTTTTGGCGCGCGTATCCCTCTCAAAGTTAGTATATATTGGCGCCAAAGGCGCCTTTAGAAAAATTTTAGGGTCCGTCACCAAAAATTTTAGGGTCTTTTTACAGCTTTGGGAGAGCTCGGAGTTTTTGCTCGACCTAAAAAAAAAAGGTCGAAAAAATTTTTCGTATTTTTTTGAAAATCCGCCCCACCGTCTCGAGAAAATCCTACGAAAAAAACTCTATCACTGTTTTTTGCATAGCGCTTGGAGGGATTTTTTTGGCTGTTTTGGATAGTGTGTGAAGAGATTTGAAAAAAATCAGTTTAGAAAGTTTTTTCATTTCATGAAAAACTCATCATTTTAAAAAAAAATAGGACTACTCCAAAAACCAAAAAAAGGCTGTCAGAATAATTAAGGTTTCAGCTTTATACAAGCAATTTTGTTGTGATTTCACGAATATGAACTGAATTAACTATAAAAAGTGAAAGTCTCCGCAGCTGGTTTTCATCTAACTGAGTTTTTGCGCTTTTCAGAACCTTTTTTTAGATAAAAAGTTTTGTTATTTTAAAGTTGTGTTTTTTATTTCAATTTCTTCAGTTTCTCAAAGTCAGCGCTACTCCATGAAAGTTAAAAAACAGTTGGAGCATGGTTAGGATGGATTTATTAAGACCAGTTAGCTTGCCAGTGTTCGGGTTGGTTTTTTTTCTTCAGACAAATTTCGACTTCTTAACTAGCCATTTTTGACGGAATGTTTTTTATCTTTCAAAAGATATTGTTGCCCTGAGCTTAGATTTGAAAATACCTGTGATAATTTTTTGAAAAGTTATGGGGGTTTAAAGATTGCCATTTTGGTCAATTTGGGACAATTAACGCGCGATATATTTTGGACTATTAACGCGTAAGCGGAGATTTAATCTGTCTTAGAAATCGTTCCAAATTGGTTGAAGGAAGCTAACTTGCCATAATTGATTCGTTACAAGGAGCTAAATCTATTCTTTTGTACTTTATATGGCGTGTGGGGAGAAATCAAACATTTTGTCGATTTTTTGTGTCGACCAAATTGATTTTCCGAAATCTCCGAAAGCATTAAAAAGACCCTGTTTTTGTCAAATTTTCCGCGCCGCAGGCAAAAGTTTAAAAAACCGGCCAAAAAAGGCATTCTTAGACATTCTTAGGCCTTTGGGTCCGTAGGGGGTCGAATCCCTGATAAGAGCGTCCGCCCCCCCCCCCCCCCCACCTAAATCCTAAATCCGCCCCCCCCCACCTAAATCCGCCCCTGGATTTCTTCACTTAAATTCAAATTGCCAGCAGAAGCAATCACATCATTTGTATCGAGGACTTGATAACAAAATTAAATTTTTAAAAAAATAGAGCATTTCCCGATCGATAACGGAAGAAGTTGGCCCACTGAGAAAAATGTGCGCAATGAAAAGAAAGCAAAAAGAACGCCGCTTTTCTCTAAGGTAAAGAATTTGCTATTACCGAGATCAGATTGACCTAAAACTGATTCGCTTACATAAAATCACTGTTCCCGAATGGCGTGCGGCGCGACATGGTGAGTTCGGTGATTCGGACCGATGAACCAAGAAAACATCGAATTGTAGGGTTGGTTGTTTTCAAGTTCGTCGTTACCACTCAATCGGCAAAATTTTCTCCAGTTGAAAGTTTTCAACTGAGGAGAAGGAGTGACGTGACGCACTCAATTTTTGGAAAAAGGAAGAGAACAAATTCTCGACATCTGCTCGCAAGAACGTTTTTTGATTAAGTATGGTTTTTGCAACCATATTTGAATTCTTGCTAGCCTCAAATTCTTGATACTTGATTTTGAGGGAATATTTGTGCGCGGGATCATTTTTCGACATCCGAAAAGTACTGTTGCCTCGATCTCAAACTTACAAGGATTGATTTACTGTGATTACCTTTTGTAAAGTTATGGGGGACTAAAGATCTGTGAACGCATAAGAAAAGATTTCATTCATCTTTAAAATCGATGCAAATTGAGTTGAGGCATGATGCTATTTGGTTTTAATAATACTGTGAAGTTTGAAAAAAAATGTATTGGTTTTTGATTAACTTAGCGGGCAGTGGATGGGTTTGAAAGTTTTTTTTGCCAAATTTCAACCTGATTTTTCAGAAAAACACTACTCCACAGACTTTGAAAAGCAGTCAAAACGCTTAGAACGTCAAATTTATACAAGCAGTCTTGTTTAGTTTTACTGTTCTAATTGTTCCGATATTTCACAGAAAACTCGGAAAATTTATGCTTTTAATTTGATTTTTTTAAATTCTTTCTCCTGCTTCAAATTTAAAGGATATTGTTGTTGGGAGATCACGTTCGAAAAGATATTGATTTTTTTTTATAAAAACAAGGGGATTTGAAATTTTCCAGTCTGGCTAGTTATGAATAATTAACGAGCGATGTTTTGCGTTCTTATAAAACGCTTAGGCGGCAAATTACAGCGATCCAAGTCAGGAAAGTTAATTCTTCTAATCATTGAAACAGGCTTGCTCGTATAATGGCAAAATTTCAAATGTTCTGACTGACAATTATTTGGTCTCGATTAGCTTCTGGTTAATGAAATATTTGGAAACTATGATTTTCAGGCTGATGATGTCAAACTTTAAGGGTGTCAGGACTATTTGCCAACTTTCTTTGCATGAAAAACTGTTCTATGCCATTAAAAGGCCTTATGCCATTTTTCTCTGCATGAAAAACTGTCCTAGGTCGTTTTGTCTCTTGATTGGCAATTCTGATTAGTTATTTGAATTTCAAATCGAGTAATTTTTCGGACCAGCAAGCGCTAATTGTATAATCAGCTTGTTTCAAGATATAAAAGGACACTAATTCAAAGTTAAAATGGCTTAAGTTGAGCATCGAAACCAAAATTTTTGTCAATTTAACGCAAAAAAATTGTTTGTTTTCCTCAATGAACGCGTTTCGAACAGAACAAAACGCTTCATTTTTTTCTGAGTTTCCGTCATTGCTTTTATCTTTTCTCTGTCAACACACAACATAATTACGAATAGTCAATGTGGGCGAAGAATTTTTCATCTACACAAAAGAACGCTCATCATTGACGTACATGGTTTTTTAAAAGATAATTATGTAAAAAAAAATTGGACGCTATAGATGCACGAAATACAGTTCACATAAATGCTGACTGCTCGCCGTAATAGCTGGAGATGATGTAATACCTACCACAAATGAAACAAGCCGCGCTATTAGGCCGGGAAACACTGAGGCGAAGCAGATCTTAATCAAATAAAACAAGAGACCAGGCAGTAGCTAGTACTTGTCAATAGCAATATAATTATCCACTTGTCTCCAAGAAGCATCAGGCAAAAAAGCAGTACAATTATCCTTGCCCAGTCGAGCAGCAATACATAGAACTCTGAATTGTCACACACAGTCTCAGTTCCATCTGTCCCAATCATTAGAGATAGGTATTTTAAAGTTCTAGTGGATTAAACAGATTTCTGTTCATTCGACAGTGGAATTTTGTATCCTGGACTTCATTGACCGGGATAACGCTCATGCCTTACAAGTACAGGAATCTATTTGCTTTTGCGACGGTATATTCAATCTTTGCTTGATGCCTCTTTACTAAGCTTTTACTGTACACATTCAAATTGGCGGTTTTTAACTACCTCGCATTTTTGAGCTTATTTCAAACGAAACTGGACCTATTTATGCAAACTTACTTCCTGAAAGCTACTTTATACTTTCTCGGACATTGTGCTGCCATCAACAATTCTTTGTGGTTTTATTCGAGCCACCGACAATGCTTTTACAAATGCATATACTGTCTTTGATCACAGGCAATTATCTTCACCTCTGCCAAGCTGTTTCACGCAAAAGGAAAGAGCTGCGTTTGAAAAAAGCTGATGAAAACAATTGCAAAGCAAGATTGGCTCTTCAACTAATACCGGCACTAAATTTTGTTCCAACTTAATTAGTCAAACAATCGTTAGAGAACATTGTTGAGAAAATCGAGCATGTGGTTGACGATTGGATCTCAAGCATTGCAGACTAAATCGACAAATTTGTGTCATACTTACAGAGAAGCTACTTGAAAAGGGGAAATAATAAAAGAGAAAACTTGACATCTTAATCATTATGAGTATCTGGAACCATTCCTAAGTAGCAGCGGAAGATTTGATCCAAACGACAAATTCCGTGAAAGATTGGCTATTCGGAGTGGCCGCGTTAGTTCAAGGTAGTCAACCAAACTTTTACCCTTTTTCACCTTTCCTCAAAGGTGCAAATGGACTTCACTAATCAGAAGGTTAAAATTTTGAAGGTTTTTGCATAGTTTTGTCCAAAGTATGGGCATGTTGTTGCAATTTTAAATGATTTCTATAAAATCGTCATTTTTTTCATTATAGGTACCAAAGAGAGTCCATATTTTGGGAGGAGGCCATAGAGACTAATTCAGCAAAAATATTGCTCCTTCACTCGCTCCACCTCCCATATTGGGGTACTCAGTACGATGGGTTTTGGAGTTTCATGATATCAAATTAAAAATTTTGATTCATTTGAGTTTTTTCATCTTGATTTTTTGACTAAGAATGCTGTGGTCTAACATCTATGCTGAAGAGTATGTTTTTATTTTTTCACACATGTTCTTTCACGACAAGGCATGAATAAAAATGAAATATTAGAACCCATGAAAGAAAAAAGAAATCATTTGCATAGTCTCGCGCTCTTTTCCGGGCTCTTTAACAGTTTTCCGGGCTCTTTCACAGTTTTGTGGCATCTTTCCCTCAGAAAGAGCAAATCATACTCTTCAACAGTTAGAACATAGTTGAAGATGGCCTCGGGCAAAAGAGCCGCACTCGGTTTTGGGTTGTTCAATTTGTTCTTGCAAGCTTTAACCTCATTTTCTTCTAGCACATGTTTTAATGAATCCGCATTTTGTTTTTGTCAGCAAAATATCTTACATAATTATGCCGACACTATAATCTACCATAATATCATGAAATCTGGGGCAAGTTTTAATTATTTTTCATCTGGGACAAGATGGCTTTGGACAAGTTGTCTTGTAGTTGGAGTAGGACAAAATGGGCTGGGACAAGTTGACCTAGGGAAAATGACATGAGACCAATTTTAAGTAGTCATATTTGAGTCGTGGGTGGATTTAATAAGACCAATTAGCTTGCCTCAATTCAATTCAATTCAATTCAAATGATTTGTAGGTCCATGACAAACATATTTAGTCTTCATACGCAACCTTATAAAACTCTTCCTTACACCATAAAAACTGATGCATATGTGAACAATAAGATGTGCTAAATACATCCCTTTGTAGTTAATATTAACTTGCAAGGAGATAAATTGAAGATGCAAAAATATGCAAATAAATCTTCAATTTTTTGTCACTTTTCTATGTAGAAAAAGTACAGTAGGATCATTCACGGCTTAGCCTTAACCTACCAGCAGTCTTGTTTTCATTAGGCCACGCCTTTCTTTTGTATGGGCAACTTTATTTAGAGCTATGATGAAACAGAATAGCCATAAATGAAACTGGGCTAAATATAGCTTCCAACTTTTTGACGTATGGTAAGTGCCTCACTTAATGCAAAAAATTGAAATCAAACGAATGAATTCTGTCGCAACGCGGGCGCAGCGTTCAAGCTCTATAATGATGAAAGGAGCACTGCTTGCTGAAACGATAGTTAAAATGTATTGGAAAAGTACAGATATTATAGCCTCTCGTGTTTCGTTTAACGTTTATCATAACTAGCAGGCCATCTTTTAGTATTCGATTAGACCATCCGTAATTTTCAATCGACACTTGGAGACACTAATTTTCTAAACTTGAAAAAAAAACGAATACAGTTAGATCACTTGATATCTAGACATATTCAGTGATAAAATGTTTGCTGATCACGCCTTGTGACATCAAATTGTGAGCCTTTTTTCAGGTTTCGAATGAAATTGTAGCGATATGATCAGAAGAATCACTGAAACGAGCGTAAACAAAATTGACATGAAGGTTCTGACTAAAGCCAGAGAGCATATCAAAACGAGTTATTTAGCTTAAGGATTTGAAATGTTATTTCGCCCTTTATTGCGCAATACCTGCCATTATACTGTCGAACTCAAGGAAACTTTGTTCTTTTTGAGTTCATATGGGCATGCTGAATGTAACTTGTTGCTAAACCAGGACGTCTTCGAAAACCCAATATTTCAATCTAGCAAAGAACTTGAATCAGCCAGTATGTCGTATAAGTGTTAATTCGTAGTATAAAATGTTAGTTTCATACTGCTGTTTTGTCTGCGGCTTTCTGACGTGAATTGGAAGCAATCGCCTGTCGCTAGATTGACAAGCTCTGGATCTGATTGTTTCCAAAGCAACCAACTACCTCCCCTTGTCGTAACAATTTGGGGTCTACAAAGAAATCACCTGTACAAACATCTTGATTAGAAAGCGACTTAATTTGCTCTGACGTGACTGCGGGCAAAGTTTGTTGTGATAGGGACAAGTCAAATACTTTCATAATTGATTTCGAGGTTGTTCGAACGCCTTGTTCAAACGTATTTGCAACTCAGTGCTTGACACTTACTTCGCTTGACGTGCGGGCAAAGCCATGGTGGAGACTTTCAGAAAAGTCAGTGAGTCTGCCTTAATTTCAATTAACCTTTCGACACCTACGGCCATCGAATTTGGCAACTCTTTCAAGTAGATCAAACGAAGTAAAGTAACGATCTTCAGGTTTTTTTCGCAATGTTCAATAGATTTAGTTAGGTTAGTCAGTAGGGGAAACTCATTAGTGTTTTCAGTGCGTTGGAAGAAGTTCAAGTTCAAATACAATTAACTCTAACTGCAATAAGAAAGACTGAAAAAAAAAACGTTTCTTTTCTAGCTCCAATTAACAATAACAATTTCTTAAACAGGCAGAATTATATAAATTGTCCTTGGACAAGTTATATATAAATTTATATAAAACTCAACTTAAAAAAATTAACTTTCAATACATGAGAGGCAGCTTTGTGTTACTGACCTAAGCTAGCTCTCGCCGGAGTCGCTTCCAAGTTGATCCAGAAGATAGTCCAGGACAAGATGACGATGAGTGCGGCTGGAAAATACACCTGGATCAAGTAGGCAGAGTACTTGCGCTCCAGAAAAATGATAGTCTGAAGAGTGCTGAAGTTGCGGTCCCCGTAGTTCATGGCGAATTCAATAGAGCTGGTGCCCTTGAGGAAAAATCCGAGGTGGTCTACGTTGTTATTCTGCTCGTCAATGTAGATTGATCCTGTGCCGGGGAAATTGGCCCAGTGGAACACGACTTCGGAGTCATCATAGCCGAAACTAGACAACATCATCTTGCAGTTGACAACATCGAATGGGAAGAGCAACACGTTCGGAGTGCAGGGGGTCTTTAGTCTCACTTTGCGGTTGAACTCAAGCGACTCTCTGCCCCTGATGATTATGTACTGTTCCTCGGCACTGTAGAGCAGGTCACGCACGAGGAGGAAGTAGGTGTCCGGGTACCACAGCTGCTCCGGCAGTTTTCGCCCAGTGATCTTCAAATCCTTCTTCATTTTCTGCTCTTTCAACCGGATGTCGTTCCAGAACTGGACCAGGTAGAAGTCAAGAGTGATTTCACTCGTGATTTCTCGAAGGCTCTCTCAAAACAAAGCACAGACATATAAAAATATTTTCAACTTCTAACCCTAACATGATGTTTATTTTTATGAACAAGAAATGCATGATTTTAAGGTCTTAAAAGTTTTTCTCCGGCTTTGAAAATTTTACATTATCGTACGGTTTATCATGTGTTTGCGGCAATAAACATGCTTTTATTAGAATAAAACAAGGGAAATGAATCTGATAATATGCAAATTATCCCACTGAACAGTGTCAGTTCAGAGTGTAGGTGGGATTTCAACTTGAGTTGAGTAACAAAATTAAAAGCGCAAAGGAGAACAAAAGTGGTAAAATGGTAGTTCGGCCTTCTACCGTTCATTTGTTTGCTTCTCGACTGGGGACAAAGCCTAGCTCATTTAGTTAGAGACAGAAGGGGTAAATATCACCCCTGAGTTGTACTTTAGGGGGTAAAAACAGGAAACTAGACATTGAAAACTGTTTCAGAGTGAGATAGATGTCACGTAAAGTCCTTTGTGTGCTTCTAAATGCCGTCTAAATTGCCGGATACATTCATTGGATTAATCAAATGGTGTGTTTGGAAACACAGTAGGAACATAGGACTGCTCGGCTGCGTCAAAATGCATGGATGATTAAAGTGCGACTGTCAGAAGGGAAGGCAGGGCAGTCTCACGGTGTCTTCTTTTCCCACCAAGATGGTCTTCACGTCGTAGGAGGGGAATGAAGAGGAAATAAGGAGGAGAAGAGGGGATACTTCAAATTAGCAGAGACTATGAATTTAAGACCCCCTGTTGCCGGCACTTCTCAAACAGGAAAAGTTCAACTCGTTTCAATTGGGCAGTCCCGATGGCCTCCTTTTTCGCTGTATGTTACCCTATGAACCTCAAAAACCCTCAGTGTCCACTTTTCCAGCATCCGCCCCGTTCATTCTACCTACCTGCCACAGGGACAGGCGTAGATATCCATCCTAATCCTAAATCCCACCATTCAGCACACGTAGCTGCTCTCAAGCTCTAGTTGATGGGAAGAGGTGATTGTCACCATCTCCGCTTTAGCCGATGGGCTGTAACAGACGATGATAGTTAGGCAAAATTTGACAACTAGGTCAAAGTGCATTTCTATAACTCAGTCATTGTACCATGAGATGAACAATATGTCATGCAACAGTTCACTTAATCTGAACTTAACTAGTTCTCACAGGCGGGTCTAATTGAAACTGGGCCGTCAAATGGATCATTGGAAAATTAGAAAAATCAGCATGAATGCGAAAGTTGGATAAAACCTTTTTTTGACTTAAGCCATTGCCACGCCTTTGTAAAAATTTGAACTCGAAAAGAAAAACAAAGATTACTTTCCCCTCTGAATCGGAGCCTTTCATTTGTCCAGGATTGAATCTAATTCAGTCGAAAACGGGGAATCAGATTTTCAAAAGTGAAATGAAAACCTGTTGTTATTCAAATTTAGGTTAAAACAAACAAAAAAAATATTTTTCAAAATGGATAAATTTTGAAAAAGTAAAGGTTAATTAAAGGGCGGTTCAATCAGTGAAAAAATTAAATAACGAGAACTAATAACAGCTTTATTAACATTAAAGTTATTGTAGAATTGTCTGGAAGTTCAGATCGAATTTTCATACCATAATTTTTTGAGTTTTTTTATTCGAAGCCGAGTATTCGCTGAAAAGGTTTTAAAATAATGAAACAATTGACCCTTAAGAGTTTTCTATGAGATAACCAGAATAGAGCGAAAAGCCCCTTCAACGTCACAGCTTCTTCCAGTCTTTTAACGAAATGGTTGGAACAATAAATTTAAAACCAAGTTCGCATTTTTAAGACAATGAAACAAATTGATTCATATATGAGGACAAACCGCTTCACCGTTGATTTGATTTATCAAAAAAGTAAAACTAACGAAATGGGAAGCTTATAATGCGTTTTTCACAAATTAGGCCATTAAAAGTCATAACATGTGTTGGAAAAATTAACTATGAAGTTTGTTAGAATTTTTATCACGGAATGAATCTTTAAGTTGTGCTTTTTACGCTAAATCAAGTATCAAATATAAACTTTTGACAAGAATTGTCGTATCAGGGCAAAGCCCTGATAGTTCTGACTGCCTTTAGATGTCTTTGGAGCATTAATAGCATGAAAAAATTGAATGTATAAAAAAAAATTAAATTTTTTTTTGATTGTTTGTGAGCACAAATACTTCGTTACTTTCGTTACTTTCGTTACGAAAATCGCAACAATAAGAGTACTGATTTGATAAATGAAAAGATATGCCATGTAATAACAAATTTTAAGTATGAATATAAATTCCCAAAACAAAATCAGCAAATTGTCTTATTATCAAAAAGAAATGGTCCAAACAACGTTTTTCATCATATTTAATTGTTCCGACTTTCACAAGAAAAACGGAATATTTATGCTCGGCCTGGTTTCTTTATTCAGTCAAATTTCGGCGATCAAAATAATAGTTTTCAAAAGTTTTTTTCTTTACCCCATTGAAAAATTTAACTCCCTGAGTTCAAATTTTAAAAAATATATATTTTACCTACAATCTTTTTTGTCAAGCCCTGGGAGTTTAAAAAATGACATTTTTGCCATCTTCTGGTCTTAAATATGCGGGCTTTGAAGCTTCAGTTCACAATGCTGAAAGCGTAACCCGAATTCGTTATGCGTGGCGAATTATCCCGCACAACAAAATCGTTCCAAATTTAGACTAGCTAATTGATCGTTTTAATTTTGTTGAACTCAAACTTTCACTCATGATGTTTGATATTGTCCAGGACTCATAGTTTTTCAATTTTTTCTGTACCAAAAATTATTCAACATGGTTAAGTGGGCAGCCAGAACATTCAAACGTAATTTTCTGTACGTATGGAATTATATGAAACTCTATGCTAAGAAGTTTTTCATATATGGAAATTGCATGATAAAAACTTTTGGTCAACCCGGGTACTTAATTTTCAAATGGAAACAATAATTGTTTCCACTTTGAAACTTAACTACCCGGGTTGACCAAAAGTTCTTATCATACAATTTTCATATATGAAAAATTTCCTAGCATACAACTTCATATAACTCCATACATACAGAAAATTGTATGAAATCTCTTTGATAAGCAATTGCTCATAAATGAAATTTATATGACAATTATTTTTCCGTAAACAAAAAGTTGATTATTTTCTTCTAAAATTGAGTTGTGTTCATAACCGAACGCAATTGACAATCAACTTGGTTTACTCAAAGCACCAAAGAAAGATTTGGACTGGTCTTGCATTTATAATGCATAGAAAACGACCTGCATTGTCATGAAGCGCGCGTTTACAAAGATATAACGAAAGTTTTAAACTTTAAAATTTTGGCAAAATTTTTAATTATGATTATTTTTTAAATTTGAATTTTTAAATTATCTGACATTGATCAAGGCATGCATAAACATGCCATAGAAAAAGAATGGGAGCTTTAATTGTTTTGGAAAAAAGTTATTAGGCAAAAAGGAACAAAACTTCTACTATTAGTGTATCTAGAACTATGTTATGCACACAAAGAATTAAATTTTGCATACAAAAAAAGTTTTTGTGTCGCCATCAAAAAAATGCTTCTCATACAGTTTCCATATTTTGGCATTTTATGAGAAGCATCTTTTTCTAAAAACTAAAACCTCCTTTTTTTCATCACCAGACTGTTTTATTAGAATCAAACAGCCGCAGAATTTAGATTATATCTTTTTTCAACTAGTTTTCGAATTTGTACAAAATTGTATGACAAGCATTTTTCCATACACTTGATGTATGGAATTATATGATAAGCATTTTCGGTGTATGGAGGTCAGCCCGGGTACACACTCGAACTCACTAAATAAACATTGCAATTTCCTCTGGTTTTTCGTACATTACTTCGCGCTCACACTGCATAGTTTCATTACGTCTTGCATCGTCGACTTGCAAAAATATTCGAAACGATTTAGTTTATGCGTTTTATTTTAACAAGGATGGTGAACATGAACACATGGGTATTCGCTCATCTAAAAAAGTACTGTGGCTTGGATTATGGGGTATATTACACTCGGCCATTTTTAAAAAGGCCCGTCGAAGTAACAATCTGGAGACCAGGTAGATGTCATATCAATTAGTGTTCTCAAAAAGCGTTCAATTTGATTCCGAAGTTACCTTAAAACTCTGACAGTTTGTCGTTTGCAGAGGAGGGTCTTGCGAAAAAACGCAAGAAAGCTACCACGGTTAGCGGTGCAAAATATGATTTTTTAAATTAGCAAGAGAAAAGCTGTTTATTTTCCGCTGAGCCGCTGTTTATTTTCAGGATTTCATGAAGTGCGAAGTATAGTACCGAAAATTGAGTCAAAGCATGTAAAATTATAAACGCATTTTGTGGCCTGTTTTTTCACAAATTTGCCTGCGGCGCAGAAAAATTTGTCAAATTAGGGTGTTTATAGTGATTTTGGAGAGCTCAGAAAATTAATTTGGTTGACCTTAAAAAAAACTTTTTTGAAAATCCGCCCCCCTCGAGAAAATCCTAAGTCCGCCCCTGCTCAAGATTAATGCAGAATTTTGGAACGAAACTTTCGACAGATCTTTTTTGGAAAAACTGGTCGTTAGAGCTTGTTTGAATTTTCTTTGGAATTAAAATTTCTTAAACTATTTTTTATCTTTACAAATCCAGAAATTGCAATAACTGCAATAAATATGTTGTGAGACTAGCCTTGAGATATTTATTATGAACGAGTGGACAATACTCTTACAGTACAATATTATAAACCCCTATCGATAATGTGCCACCAAATTAGGTAACATTTTCCATTACAATAACAAGAAAATGCATTATTTTCATTAAATTAAATTGCATTATAATTCCACTTAAGTCTATTTTTATCTCCATATAGTCTCATGAAAGTTTCAGCTTTGCCATAAAATTGCAAGAACACCATTTTTTTTCGTATCACTGCAATTAAGTCTATTTTTTATCTCCATATGATTTCCTGAAAATCTTTCCGAACATTAGA